ACAAATTTTCAGGAGTTATTTTCTCAAAATAATTTAATATGACTGAAGGTACCTTTTGCTAGAAAACTCCCCATATGTATTTGTATATAGTTATAAAATCGCTAGGTTGTTAAAAACAAACAGTTAGACATGACGTCACATGGAGCGTGTGGAATTTGTTTTATCACATTTGTCACTTTGTGACAAAAAAAAAATTTTTTTTAAATAAACCTTGTAATTTGTTATTAAATAGTTTTATTAGTAGGTACTTTTTTTCACAATAATAACAATAATGAATTTTTCTCAATTAAATATTTTATTACAGATAATAAATAGGTGACCTCTACCAATTCTTTATTTCATTTTGTAAATTTAAAAATAAATTATATACGTGTTCTTTGTTTATATTAACTGAACTATCACCTTCACCTTCATATTTATTATCTCATCATCTTCTGGTTCAACCACATTGTCGGATAATTTTTCTAATCTTGAAATTTTTGGTAACACTAATGTTCACTTTGTCTGGTTTTGTTGCAGTATGCACCATACTAAGTAAATCAGTGTAACGTCACATTTTTCAATTCATTTTCATCCATTTTTTATTTCAAAAAATTCTGATATTGTAATAATTAAATATGCCATTAACAAAAAGTCAAATTGCTCAAAGAAAAAATTCAAAATCGATCTAAAAATTTGTCTACAGGCCAATTTGAAAAAAAAATAAAGCATCAGATTCTTCTAATTCAGATTTTATTTTATCAGATGAAATTTATTCTTCAGATTCTGATGTTGATATTATTCACATTGATGCTGAAGTAGTAATAAAACAAGGGAAAGTTGGCAGAGTTTGCAGTGGAAAATTATAGTTCACATAGGAGAGTACCTGATTCTGTATGATGAAATTAAAATTTGAGTTTTATCTGTGTTTTTGTGTAACTTACTTATTTTTTTGCATTTTTAATTGCTTTTGTCAAAAGAATAAATGAAACATATATATGAATTTATGAATTATCCAAATTAGGAAAGATCAGCGACATAAAAATGGGACTGATTTTTTTATGTCTTGCTGAGTTGAATGGTGGTATTCTCTTTATCTGGTGTATAGATCACATGATATTTAAATTTCGAGTGGCGTTAATCACAGGGTCTTCGTTTTATTGGCTAATTTGCCTTTTTCTAAATTTAGTTAGATCAATCATGTTCGTTGATACAGTACACTGGCAAAAAAAGGCCGTTATATATAGAGAGACCGTTATAAGGAATTTTCAGATCATAATCATGCGATCAATTCATAATGTGATACATGATTTTTATTTGTATTTTTATGCATTCGTTTATTAAAAAAAATAAAAAAATAATACATCATTTATTCAATATTAAGAAAGCTATCTAATGTTTATTGTTGGCTTAAATGCAACTTTTCAGATTGTTGCTCAATGTAAACATCTGTTTTCGTTGCTGATAAAGCTTCTTTATTTGTAACAGGTGAAAATTCTTCAATTATTTCTTCTTTATTTTGGTCTTCCTCAGTTGTATTAATTATTGAAATTATGCCTTGTAGTATTCCGGATAATGAAGTAATAATGATATATTAATATGTATTAAATAATTTTGGCATCTGTACTGTCATTATAATAATAAACGTATTGTAACAAATAAGAGAAATATATGCATAATCCTAATAATGCGATCATAATTCTGTAATTTATTCGTATTATTAATGATTTTGATTTGCAGAAAATTTCCTAATTTAGCAATTATAATTTCAGATCGGCCATTATATATATAATAATAAGACGTTATACACTATAGAAAATTTAATTAAGACGTTATATAGTGGGATTTTATATAGTAAAAAATTGGGACCCAATTCCCAGTTCGTTATAGAATGCAGGCCGTTATAGAAAAGACCGTTATAGAGAGTGTACTGTATTAACAATAATGCATGATTTAATAGTGATGATGTCATCTGGCTAAGAAATTTAATGGCTTGCTTAGCTGTCTCGGGGTGAATTTTCATCAATCAAGAAAATGCAATACTTGTATATAAGTTTCTACCCATTTAAATAAATATAATTATTAATTAAAAAAGTTCTTGTTACAGTGAATTTTACAATATAATATGTTCGTTATAATGAGGTTCGACTAGAAAGCTTCTTGGTGTAATTTGTTATTAAAAAAATCTACTAAAATTTAACCCCAAGTGTTGTTCGCTTTTGGGAGATGATTCTTAGAATTCCAACAAGCTAAAATTCTCTGAATAAAATGTTTCTTTACTCATGGAAATCGCTTTTTACAACGATTGCTAGTTTCAATAATAATTATTGGCGCAAGTATTGTCAATTCGAGGTTTGATTTTTATTTACAAATTATTTCTGCGCTTGTTTGATAGGTTTCAGCTAATATTTGTCGTCTAATCACGACTATTGTTTTTATTATTGATCAAAGTATTAGATACTTAATTTTATATATACAGTATATCACAGAGGTATAATGTTCTAAATACTTTTAATCGATAATTGGATCTACTCGACCACCACAAACATCTTCTGCATGCGTTCGTAAATATAGATTGGTATCACGTTTTTATATATACTTCTTTTTATGTTAATAATTGTTCCTGATTATGAAGTTGCCTATAGTGTTTAACATTTAAATCTATTTTATTATTAGTCTGATTAGCTCAACAATCAACTTTTTTTTTATTTCTCTAACCGAATTTCATTCCACATCCATATACATTAGGTAACCCTTTATTCCAAGACGAGCATCCTTTTAAAGCCACGCTTTGATCTCATAATAAACTGCTTTTTTAGCCGAATAATCTAAATATAGAATTCCAAGCCGGCTTTAATATTAGTGCAGTCAATGACGATACAAATAATAAAATACGAAAGAGGTCAGGTCACATGTCATGTTCGAAACACGATTAGGTGGCACTTTGATAATGCGTCTTTTGATTTTTAATTTCTTTCCTCGCATAACACATAATGATAACATTCCGCATGTCAATAAAATCCTTTCTCACATATAAAAGTTCTTTACATCATGACCAATCTTAGCCCTACCTTTAATGCTTGCTATTTTATTATTAAAAATAGAAATGCACATGGAGTGTTAGTATGCGAATCCGATCCCACTAATGGAGAAGGATAAGATTAACAAGATTAACACAATTGCGGACAAAGTGTAGGTGCACATAATTCCAAAGATCAATGAATATTAGCTTACCTCAGCCTGCACTTAATTCGAATAAATTAATGGATAATAGTCGAACAATATGTGTGATTGCAGCCAGACGATTTGTCACATCAGCTGATCATTCATATTAATATATTAATATTAATATAAAATAGAAATTCCGATCCGTATAATCAATCGATTTTTAAAATATATTGTTATTTTATATAACAAATTAAAAACATCAATTTATTATTAATCTAAATAAAGCTGTGTCGTTGTAGTCTTGACAGAGGCTCTCTCTCTATGTAAAGCTATAGTTATTCAGAAACAGCAATACTTTTCACTTCAAAAATAAGATCCTCCAATATTATCTTTATAAACTCGATGAATGGTTAAGTGGTTCGAGAAGATGCAAAATATTATATGGGTATAGATTTATGTGGATTGTTGTTTACTAATACTAATACAGAAATAGGAAAAAATATGGGCAAGAGATCATCAGTCTTAATGACAAAAAAAGAATTAATTTCCAAATGCGGTAATTAGGTTGTTCCAAAAAATTTCGGAAAAAACACTTGAAATCGTTTTCATGATAAATCATTCGACTGTTATTAATTACTGACTAGATTATACATGATTAAGAAGTTAAGAAAATTTAGAGAATGCGTAGTGATTATTAATCTAAGTTCCAGACAATAAGGCGAAAACGTCTCAATGCTTCAAGTTCAAGGAACATGTTATAATTTTTATTGGACTATTTTAATGTGCATATATTATAATATTATAATCTTTATATAAAAGTTATATAGAAATTAGCGTTGAATTGTTGTTGTAATTTTTTTATATTCATTTTTATATATTTCGATTTTATTTTTTCTTCGGCTATATAGTTTTTTAATTGTCTGAAATAGTAACTCTTCATTATCTATTATCATTATCGATGATAGGATTTTCATTGAACTATCAAAACCCGCTTTTAATAATTTGGCTGCAAATAATATGGTGAAGAGAAAATGTGGAAATTAGAAGATAAAAAAACGAGAGGATGTAGATGTAAATTAATAAAAGAAATCCCATCCAATTGATCATATATAATAATTAACTAACTAATTAATTACACTTACATTGATTATAGATTAATAAAGCAATAGCAATATAATATAATATATCAAACCCATTCAACATAAGTAAATCCCAAAATCGTAAAAATATATTATGAGCAACAATATCCGTTGAAAATAATGTCATGTACCATTTAGTTGCATATGATGTACTCGTTATACCTAATTTTGCCTTATATATTTTCGAAGAAAGAGAATAATTAAAATGGTGATAATAGGAATATTATATTGTGAAAAAAATTATTATTATTTGCATACAAAACGGCTTGTTAATTTTGGTACATATAATTCCATTAATTTCTTTTGGATATAAAAACCTTCCATCAAGGAAGGGAAACCAGGCACGTAAAGACTATGTAAATTACATTTTGAAAATAATTTTATCAACATTACAAAAGAATCCTACAAAATGGTAATAAAGAAACATTTGTAAATAAATAAAATAAGAAAAAAATCATTCTAGCCAATTTATCAAATAACCAATGTTGATTAATTGATTACCTCTTCGGAATAATACAATAATAATATTGCTACAATATTAGCCATTCCTTGACAAAAACCGACTTGTTGATCATAGTTTGAGAAAGCTTTCAATACGTTAAACATTGATCTTTGTCTAATTTTTATTTATCCCCCGAAAAAATATAGAATTAAATATTTATTACTATACGATTATTACTCATTTCACGTTTAAATTTAATTAATTAATTAATTACCCAGGTCCATATCTTGTTTTAAACATTATGTGCGATTGTAATGTTCTAGGTACATCTAAATCTATATACTTTTCATGGATCGATGACAAGCTTAATAAAATCTTTTTTTAAAGTAAGAAATAAACAAAGAAAGAGAAAGAGATGATTCATCAATTGATTAGGGAAAAGACATATTGTTCAAATAACAATTATCAATAACTTACTTTGTATGTGTGTATTAAAGATCTATCATATTCTGCTTCATTTTGACCAGTTGTTAACATAAAATGCCTAAAATAACAATTTAAATAAACATTTAAATGTAAACATATGTAATATTTTTTTGTAAATCCAATTTATCAACTTACCAAACTTTGCCTCTCCAAGGATCAGGTATGCCTTTATAAACTCTTTCCACAAATTTTTTGTCCCATATAAATTGATAAGATGTTTCACCATATTTTCCTGATCGAGAGATACTTTTACTTTTTGTAAGCCAACTTGCCCATTTTTGTGATCTTTCAATTTCCTTTTTCTTTTTTTCTGTTCTATTTTACAAATAATAATGAGAAGTAATAATTCAAATATCGAGAATTATAGAATTATTATTACATGCGGTTGATAAAATATTTCAGGTGATCCAACTCAAGAAATCAGCTTTTGATTTTTACCTTTTATTATCAAATGATTTTGATTCTTCTTTCTTGCCTTTATTAACTTCAAATCCATACCTATCAACAGATTCAGCATATTGATCAAGTAATGCATCATCTTTAAACTGGCTAGTATAATAATGCCCATAAATCAATTTATCATCTCCAGAAGAAGACAGTGGTAGATGGCTAGCGCTATCACGTGAGATATCTGGTTTCGACGTAACTGAATAGTATTGTCCGGTAGCCATTGTTAAAGTGGTGGAATTAGGATGGGTTTTTAAATTGTCGATGCTACAAACCTTATGATCATGGTCATGGTCATGATCATCATCATCATCATCATGATCATCATCATCATCATCATCATCATCATCATCATCATCATCATCGTCGTCGTCGTTATTAGTAGAGATAGTATCATTATCATTAAAAATGTCAAAATAATCATTAATATTAAAGCTACCTCCATTATAATAACCGTTATTGAGATCATTATTGTAATAATTATTTAAACTGTTATTAATATTATCATCGTCTTTATTTTCTTCTTGAATTACATCCATATAATGGAATTGACTTGATTTATATTTTTCATCGTTGATATTATTATAATTGTTATTATTATTATACATAAACATTTTTGAATCGATATTGTTTTCATTGCTGTCAGTGTTGTATAATAATCCGTAAATTGAATTAGTATTATTCATGGTGATACAAATATTATAGAATTATTGTTTTTATAAAAATCTCTACTTTGAATATAGCAATAAAGCAGGGGATTTAAATTAAAGGATTGTATGTTGCTGTTATTGTTGTTGTTATTTCTCCTTTTCTTTTTCCTTGGAATTTAGATAAGGAAAAAACAAAATACCCTTTAAAATATGTAATATGTATATATATATACACATATGTAAAGGGGACATGTAAATATGATGATTATGATGATGATTATGATGATGATATAAAGGTTGAGTTACGAAGGAAGGAGAAGGAGAAGGAAAAGGAAAGTGGAAAAATATAATCGTTATATAGAATTATTATTTAAAGTTACAAAGAGAAAGTGAAAAAAAAAAAAAAAAATTTATATATAATTATTTTTTCCCACATGCTAACTTGATTTGGAAGGTCTAAAGTACATACATTAATTAATAATTATTATATAACAGAAAAACGCGACAATGATGAATTAATTAATTCTATATGATGAATTAATTTATTTATTTCATTTTGCTATTGGAAAATTTTGATAATCTATTTAATATTCTAAGCGATGATCGACAAAATTCTTCATTCAAATTTTTTGAATTGATGTGATGATATTAATATGTTATTGAAAAATATCATTAAACGTTCGTTAACAACAACGAATGCAAAAAGATTTTTAACGATTGGATTGATACCAGCCGATGGTATTGGCAAAGAAGTTATTCCTGTACGCAAAAAATATTTATTATTATTAAATTGATTATTTTTTTCAATAAACTAATCAATGAAATAATAATGAAATAATAATAGGCAGCAAGAAAAGTTTTGGAGGCAATTTCTACAATTGATAATGGTAGTCCAAAATTTAAATTTGTAGATTTGGATGCTGGATTTGAATATTTTCAAAAAAACGGGGTAGCACTCCCTGAAATAACTCTGGAAATATTAAAGAATGAATGCGATGGTGCACTTTTTGGTTCTGTCAGGTAATAAATTATCATCTTTATATTCCAAATATATTTTTTTTTTAAAAAAAAAAATTGTTATTATTAGTTCTCCATCGCATAAAGTCGCAGGTTATTCATCACCAATTGTTGCATTAAGAAAAAAATTGGATCTTTATGCAAATGTTAGGCCTGTTGTATCAGTTAAATCAATCAATGATAATGATCAGCAAAAATCAATAGATATGTTAATTGTTAGAGAAAATACTGAATGTTTGGTAGGCGATTTTTTTTTTTACCTGAAAGACCTAAACATATAAATTTTTCTTAATTTTGTCACGTTTCTAAAAAATTTTTAGTATATCAAACAAGAAAGACAAGAAATTGACGAGAAGACAGGATTAAAGGTGGCATGGGCAGATCGAAAGATATCAGAATATGCATCGAAAAGATGCGGTAAAATTGCATTTGAAATGGCTTTGAAACGTGATGCACTACGTCAACAAATTCCTATTGAACAGCGAGTATGGAAATCTGAAAGACCCAAAGTAACAATTGTTCATAAATCAAATGTTTTAAGTATAACAGATGGATTGTGGAGAGAGGTTGTTAGAGGTGTGAAGGAAAATGATTCGAGATACGATGGTGTTGATATGGATGAACAATTAGTTGATTCGATGGTTTATCGTCTTTTTCGTGAACCCGACTGTTTTGATGTAGTGGTTGCTCCTAATTTATACGGTGATATCATTAGGTATATATGTATCTATGTATTATAAACTAGGTTATATAGACATTATATTTAAAGGTATTTGTTATTATATATATAGTGATGGAGCTGCAGCATTAGTTGGAAGTTTGGGTGTTGTTCCTAGCGCAAATGTTGGAGATGGTTTTGTCATTGGTGAACCAGGTATATTATTCTTTGCACCTTGAAATTCATCAATTTATTATAACCATTATTTCACATTCTTTAATCCCATGTGTGACATATTATAATAGTACATGGTTCTGCACCTGATATTGCTGGACAGAATAAAGCTAACCCAATAGCAGCAATTCGTAGTTCGGCATTGTTATTAGAACATATGGGATATCCTAAAGAGGCTTTGAAAATCTATAAAGCGGTTGATAGTGTATTAAGAGTTGGCGGCGATTTTCTTACACCGGATTTAGGTGGTAAATCAACTACAAATGAATTGACTGACAATATTATTAAACAGATTTAAAATAATTCAAGTATTTGTATTCTTTAAAGAATTCATATACTTGTTTTTGAAAATAATAAAAATTTGATCAACATAAATTTTTTTTTCATAACTCTGAATTTTTGTAGGCGGTCTAGCCAAACAGCTTTCGTTTTTTAATAATCTTTTGGAGTTTGTATTTTTTATGAATATTTTTTCGTTATTTTTGGAAGAAAAATTCGTTTCTAGAACATGAAAAATATTCCTCGCATTATTATCAAATGAATCAGAAGAATCAATCAAATTGTTTGGCTAGTACTGATAATCTGGGTATCACTAACCTAGCAATTAAGATCACAATCTTCTGATCCTTTCTTTTTATCATTACCTTTATCAAATTACATTCTGGATTTTTTTTTATTCATCATTGTCATCATCAGTGCAAGCAGATTGTTGATGATGAAAGAAATAATGATTTCAGATTGCTGAATTGGTTCATTTTGTAGACAATTTGTATAGAATGATTGGTTCTTGTCATTAGGTTCTGCAAATTAATAATCATTGTTTTTCTCTAGTTGGCTCATAAGTTTTTTTCAGCAGTTGATTTATTTTCTGGATTAGGATCCTAAAATCTTTCCATCAGTTCAGCAAAGTATAAAAGTATCGTCAGTGATTTGAGATAATAAGACAATGATTATGTGGTCTATCATCTTTTGTATATGATTTTCTTGGTGATACTTCAAGTGTCAAGTATCGACACAATCTTAAATCTTCTATTACTATTACCTACCTTAGAATTCGCATAAGAAAATATGCTGCCATTGTGATGAAATGTAATTATTCTAATTTGTATTAAATATTTTCATTTGTGAATTTTAGTAATTTCATAATGATAACTATATGTAGAATAAAATTCATTCATTATATTTGTTATTAATATTTATTAAATAATATGCTTTTGGCACAATTTTCTACTGACTTTGATGTAACAAATAAATCACTTTTGTTAATACATTCATTTAATATTTAATAATATATTTTCTTTATTTTCTTATAAAATAAAAAAATATACATACAAATAAATTCAAATCAACTAATGAACAATTTTTTGTTTAAATTGTAAATTTCTCTTTTTTTTTAATGGAATTAACAACTGATGGTTTCAATATTAATATATATTAATATACATGTGATATTCTTTATAACAAAGGCTTTTTAAAAAGAATTACTGTATGTCGAAAATTAAATAATTTGGAGTTGTCGCCAATGCAAATGGTATATATAAACCGAGTAATTCATGCATGAAAAAAGATGGCACTATTCTTGCACCCAATCTTTCCAAACAAAATTCTCGAGGTAACACTCTTTCGCTGATATTAAGAGTTTTAGTATTGTTTTTTGTTACATCAACTTTCTTGTTCTAACAAAATTAACAGAAGCATAGCAGCATTAGGAGATTACAACAAACTTCTACGGCTCATTAAATTACTCTATTAAGGGACGATATATAGTCTTCTGGCTTCCACAACCAAAAAAATACTATGTTTGTGAGAATAAACTAAATATAACGAATGAATAAATTTTTTAATTGTCGTTTGTCTGTCTTTACTCAATACTACGTGATGGTTGTATGTATCCCAAGTTTTATTTTTTGATGAATACATTCGTGTATTGGCTTTGATTCGGTACAGTCAATCATCTTCTTTCAATTTATAGTTAGACCGAACAAACTCTGTTTTCGGTTCTCGGGTCAGCATTGAAAAAAAAATTTTATGTGTTGTTTGCCTGAAAATTTTTTTATTCCAAAAAAAAAAATAAAAAAAAAAAATAAAATAAAAGGCGGGTCACCGGGTCATGGATGTTACGAGAACCGAAAATCGAGTTTATGCGGCCTTATTTTTAGAACCACATTTTATTATCATTTAACTTTTTCCACAACAAAAAGGGTGTCATCAATTTGTTAATGTATGCGTGTATGTTTTCTTTATCTATAAAAAACTTTTTCTTGCAAAAAAAAATAGATTTATTGAACGAATTTAGGTACATTGTTATATTGTTGCATCATTATTATCTATTAGTATTGTGTAAATTTAGATCCAATCTTTCTTTTTCTAAATTATGCATATTTACAATCCTGATTTCCCAAAACTGCTTTACAATCATGTTTCTGTATTTTCGTTGTCTATTGGTATATTAATATCACAGTCAGGAAGTTATTAACGGCGGTTCTGAGAGGTTTAAATTTTTTATTTAGAAATGGCCCTTGTCTAGATTGTTATTAATTATATATTTAATAAAATCCAACCATTGTGATTGTAGTGTATAAATGCCAAAATCACCTCATGCAAAATTCTCACATGTAACTTGAAATCTTTAAAGGGACTAAAATACTTATGCATTATTTCGTTGTTGCTAATGGTAAAAAGGAAAAACAAAAAAATTAGAATAATAATTCAACAACCATTATCTAGTCTAAATTAAACGTTTTGGATTGAATAATAATATTCCATAATCCAAGGCTCTTCTAAACCTTTACTTCTTTTGCAGCAAAAATCATTCGCAATATAAATTTATGTTTATGATTACCACCTTCCAGATTTTATTTGAAATAACATTTAAAAAATTTAAAAATTTTGCTTGAGGTAATTAATTAACTCAGTTGATGAAAGAGATGATAATTGTATAGAATGATTCTGAATTCTTTCTATCTGATAAACATTTTTCTGAGTTGATAGTTTCTTTTGTTTCTTCGGAAAAACCACAACAATATCATTCAATTTCTACAGCAATTGTCATGTGGCTCACCATAAAACGGTTCTTTCCTGTAATATATTCTCACATTATCTCATGTGTAATCTCATTTATGCAAATTATACATTATATATACCATGTTTGTATTACCAAAAATCAAGATTTAATCGCCAACATAACGGCGATTATGATTTGTTATTTTTTCATATAGAACTACCCCTGTATAAAATAATTAATCCACTATGGACCCCAAGAATTATAGCACTACTAGAAGTAATTTGAAGAAAGAACATTTATCAAAATAAATGATACTCAGGCACTTGAAGCTTATCTAAGGAAAGAAAGGATTACCTATGAAATTTACCAAGAAGAAAGAAAAATTGTAACCAATAAAAGAAAATTAACACAGAACCATAAATAACCCGAAAATTGGAAAAAAAAAATGATTACTACTTAACTTAGGTTTAATTATTAGTATAATGAGCATATTTGTATTATCATAAGAAGTTAAAAATAGATTTGACAAAAGAGAATTGGTGTATGTTGGTTCTGCTTCCTTGGGTTTTACTTCAATTATTTTCTCTGGTTTCTCCTTTAGGTGAATTTTCTCGCTTATCTTTTTTTGTAGTTGTTCTTTTTTCCTTGGTAATGTTGATAATAGTGGTAATAAGACTAAGATAAATAAAGTTTTAATTTCTTTTATAACTTCAGAAACATCTGCTTTCCTAATTTTTAATAAAATAAATTCAGCAAAAGATACATTGGCAACTTCCTGAGTTTTGACGACACCAGGATTAGATGCTTCAAAAAGAAAATATTGATTTTTTTTAAAAAATAATTTAATGTCCAAGTATTGAAAGCCTTTCCTGCTTCGTGGAATTGTGTTTTTATAATACTGCTAGACTAGATCTTTTCACCCATCAACTACATGATCCACACAATCTATACTTGTTTTTCTGTAGAGTTTTTGATTAATCCAAAACTGTCATCACATTTGAATTTGATATGTCCAGGAATTGTCAAAAGTCACATGATTTTTATTTTGTCACCAGCATTATCACAAGTAATCTTTAAATGCTTTTCGCCATTATTCAATCTCTTAATTCCATCAAAGATCATACTAAGTGTATAATTCGGGTCACACTAACTCATCAAATAAAAATTGATCAACTTTAAAGCTAAATAGGGAAATATTTAATCTTGTCTGAAAAAAAAATAGAGATGATATTTGATAGCTATTGACTATTCTACTTATTAGCTTTTAAAAATCGTGTGTTTTTATATGTTTTTATATGTTTTTATATGTTACATATAAATTTGAAAAATTTAGTTTATCTGAAATTTTTAAAAGCTAATAACTCTGGAACTAATAATTTTTCAATGATGGATTGTGAGACTGGTCAATAGCTATCAAATATTGTCTCTATTTTTTTCAGACAAGCATTCAATATTTCCATATTTAGCTTTAAGGTTATTTGATGTGTTAGGGTACCCGCATCATACATGGGACCTTTCCCTAGCACTATGTCTGTGAAACAAAAAAATGATCATCCTAGCAAATTTATAAAATGTGCAGCATGCATGCCTGCTGAAGATGCATTTATTTACGCGAAGTCAGCAAATATATACATAAATTAAATATACGAATAAATAACCAATAAACTATGAATATTTTAATTTAATTCCTAAGATGAGATATCATAGTCGTTATTTTGCTTTGAAGTATCCATAGTATTTTTAATGTTTTGTAAAGGAGCCTTGTATTCCTTGTTTTAATTACAACGATAACCTGACACGATAATGATGCAATAACTCTTTTTATCATCACAAATTTTTGTTAAGTCAATAGTAGGTTATGTATTTAATAAATTATTCGAATCTCGAGAACCATTGATGAGTGTTCTTTTTTGCGTTAGGTGGTATGGCTACATTTATATACTTTTGAACAATTCTTCTGGAGGTCTTCTCTCTAAAAAAAATTTTTTTGAGAATGCAATAAATATATAACTTAATAATAATAGAAAGATCGAGAAATTTGTCGGATAGAAGATACGCTAGAACCCTATAAATATATATAATTAACAAAAAATTTATTAACTACTAAACGTTCTAAAGAATCACTTAATTCTTGAACAGTAAAATTAGGGTTTAATAATTCTGATGCTTCCATAAAACCCTTTATTATAACATTTGTTAACATTATCCCCAAATTCACCATTTTTATAAATATATTTGTAATTAATAATTAATAACCAGATCTTTTTCACTTCATCAAAAAGGCCAATCCATGTTGCTTTATGAACTTCTCCAAAACTACCTTTAGCTAAATAATCAATAATTTATTATATAGGAATCTAATATATATTTCTTCACATTTATCAGTTAATTTTTCAATTTTTCTTTGCAACCATCACATAATAATCATTTTTTATTTTTTCACCAATAATAATAAATTCATCGTCTAGTTTACAGATTGCGTCCATCTTATAAGATTTTCTTTTCCTATATTATCTTCTAAATGTTTTAGTCCATCTATTTATTTATAAAATCATCCCCTTTTTCCTATCATTCCCTTACAACCAATACAATTTCCTGTTGATTCTAAATGAATCAATCAATTCAATATTATGCCATTCATTTTTTAACATGTAACACTAAATGTGTAGTATTTTACCATAATTATTCTTGATGGTAATATGTCTTAAACCACCAATTTTTAACATGATCTTTGAAAGTATGGATAGAAGTCACTTTATCTTTTTAAAAAATAACTTTTAACAGCTATATGGAAAGAAAAAGCGATGTTCTGTCGGCCCAAACGGTCTAATTTAATTAGATGTGGGAGTGTTTGTTTATTTAAATTGTTTATTATATTTTTACTATGTAATTAATCGTTCAAAATAACCAAAAAAAAATAATATTACGATGACATTAGGAAAATAATAATAATAATATAACTCTTTGCATAGATTGGGACTTAAACTTTTGTTCTGTGTGAAATTGAAATTCATAATTAAAATTTTGGGTGTGGGAAATTCTGATTTGCTAATTCGAAATTTCACGTACGTGAATTGCAAATTCACATAATGACAAAGAAAATTTCAAACCCATTGATTAATACATGTTTTTTTTTACTGCAAATATCTTCTAAATTTGGCTTTTGTATGACTCTAAAATTTATCGCGCTTTATAATGATAATAATGTTAAAGTTGAATGAATTAAATTTATCTATGCACTGAAATATGGCCGGTAGTGCAGAAAATGACAGATGTGCCAATTTAATGCGGTAACAAATATTAAATTATGAATACATTCATTATAATAAAAAACCTTTAATCTATTTTATCTCATTTATCGATACTTTTATTATTCTCTAAAATTTTTATCAATGTTTTCTAAAGGTATGAATGAATGACTGCTTGCTTTTTACTAACTTTATGTTGATCTTTTGGCGTTCAGATCTACTTTTATGCAAAGAAGTAGTGGTTTGTTGTCTTTGGAATAACTCTCCTAGAATTCTGTGATTCTAATTTATTTTTTTATGAAATCACTTTCTAATAACTTTTGTTATATGGTTCACTACATATTTGCAAGCGATAAAAATAATTTTGTCCCATCAGCATAAAAATCGTCTTTCATTTACTCATTCAATGACTAACTTATAATTCTTAAAGATCACAAAAAATTTCGAACACAATAATGCAACAAAATAATCAATTATGCACTATTATAATTAATGCATTATAAATCATGTACAATGCAAATGCGTCCTATTTAAGGAGGTCCCGCGCCATATAAACCGGCAAATGCAGTATATGCATCATACATATGGCAAGTTCCAAGAAGAATTTCGATGATCTTGAACATTTTAACTTGAATTTAAATACAAATCAAGATCAAATTCGAAATCAATTAATTCAAAATCAAAAACCAAATACAATGCAGATTGTCATAAAAGAATTTTTTAAAACCTCACCATTCAATTAGTACTCATGCATTCTGTAGATCTTTCTCTATTTGGAGATTTCATACATTTTATCAAGATGTTTTTATCAAATGAGGCTTCTACGTGAACTACTGTCAATATTAATTTGCATCATATTTTCCAGGAAATCTTCCTTTATTAAGGTGGCCCCATACAATTTTTAGTGTCATTGGAACAGTCCAGATCAGTTGATCCATATGCCTGCCAATACTGCTTCCAGACCTTTTTTCATAGAATTATTATTCTTTGTTATACCAAATAATAATAATAATAATAATAATAATAATAATAATAATAATAATAATAATAATAATCAATTTATTTCGATTTCGATTTTCGATTTTGAAAACTAGTGTAAAATTTTTTCGATGTGAAACTACATGTGATACTCATTTAATTTCACCCATTAAAAGTTTAGCGTTAAACCGAATCGCTTTAAAATCGTTTAAAGTCATTTTTAAGCATCAATATCTAAAAGAACTTGGATAAAATAATATTTTTATTAAAAAAAAGGTTTAAGGTGCTTTTTGTGTAAACATTAGATTCAATTTTTTATATTGAAATAGTATTTATTAATTGTTTCAATATAAAATTGCAGTTCACACTCTATATAACGAACATTTTGTCATATATGTCTTTTTGTGCTTTATAAAATATAGAAATAGAAATATAGAAACAAAAGAGAGGGATTTTACTTGGCAATAGAAAGTGAACTGATTTCTGAACGTTACACTGATTTTTGATGAAAATGACTGGTATTTAATATCTAATATATTCATTCGCCTGGTAATAGATCTTTGAGTATTTTTTGTTTTTTGTTTACCCGAAATTCTGTACCTCGGAATGTTGTGCAAATCTGTGGATATGTGTAGTCTTCTTCTCAGGATAATATATTTTTAGAGCTATTACATGATTGTAATAGTTCAACATTCATTTTGTCATGTGTTTTTTACAATAATAAATTAGATTTCATGAAGTCGTATGTGAGTCAATTCGCAATAATAATGTAATAATTATGACAATAGAAACTCTACTACAATCATATTTACCACAATCACTGCATATCAATTGTATTGATGCTTATCTAATGTGGGAAATATTACATGTCGTTGCCAGCTGTTTGCTTGTCAAGAGATTATTTTTAACATTCTTAATAGTATTTCCCAATTTAAATTTTTTTTCAATATTTCAATAGTTGCATGATGATTCTTAGGATACCTATGAGACATCACACTTCTTGAAATCCCTCCCACATTGTTATTTCATAAATATTCTATTAAACAAGTTTTTCAATTAAAAATTTTTTTGATTTTTTTGGGAAAATTTTTGGTGAAAGATTTGGAAACGCGAATATCTTATCTATAAAAGAAAAAAGATACTTTCATTCAAACTTTTTTTCAAAAATATTCCATGACTACAAAACTTCTAACTGAAATATATATTTTGCTTTATGGTAATCGCAGATTTTTTAATGATAACATGGATATAGTCCACGTGGTCTAGAGAGAGACTTTTTAAATTTTGTAAAAACTACTTTATATATTAAAAAATTTAACTCTGTGATGGAATCTGTCTCTAATGTATAACAAAGAAGATTCCCATTAGTCTCATACAGAGCCCCTCTAGTACACATTCGCAGAAAACTCAGAATGGACACGGAAATCGTATCTAAATTTGGAAGCATATTGTTCTTTGAGATTTATTTTTAACAAGATAAATAGATAAATATTAATAATGAATAAATATTAAGACTTCTCTAATAATTCCGTTGCGCAGCCTATGAAAAAATTGTTTCAATTGGATAATTATTACGTGAAGTACCATTTTGGAAAATTCATATTGCGGATGGCGCGGGTTCTAACCAAAATTATGAAGTTAGTTACTAGCATCTGTACCCACACTGATTGACCGTGTGGCACAGTAATAAATAACAAAATTCTGTTTTAAATAATAGTAATGATTCTTGGTCGTTATTGATAAATATATTGCTATATGATTCAGCTTGTTCAATCAATTCATTTAGTAAACAACTTGTATAGATTGATTCTGGATGGTGTTTATAATTCTTTGTGTCTGAAAAGTATTTTTTCTGAATTTCTGCTAATTTAAGAACAATTATAAATTTATTGTTTTATTAAAAAAATTTATAGATTTAATAAAGTGAACCAATTTTATCATCAATCTCCATTTTTAAGGTTAATGTTATTAATATTTAAAATAGATATTAATAATTTGCTTCTTTTAAAATATCTGAAATTTTATTACTCGTCATATCCATGTTATGTTGCTTTATGAACATCTCCAAAACCATCTTTAGCTAAGTATTTGATTTATTATATGGGGCTCAATATATACTACCATAATTTACATTCATGAAAAAATCTGGCTATTTATTTTTTATTAATAATAAATTTATCACCTAATTCATAAATTATATTTTCCTTCTCTTATGAATCAAATAATTCATTTAATGATTGTTTATCATATAATAATAATAATAATAATAATAATAATAAATCATCTTTCTACCACACCACTCACCACAATGATTCCGGATGATGTTTATAATCCTTTTTGTGGCAAGCATTTTTCTAAATTGATAATTTTAATTTATTGTTGTTTAACTTCTGATAATCTAATAGTCTTCATTTGATTTATAATAAATATTCCAAATTTCTTTAGTTGTTAGCCTATTTTCTGGATCATGATACCAACATCTTTTCATAACACCACTAGTTCGTGATCTCTTTCCTTTTAAAATATCCGATATAAGACAATGATTATGTGATCTATCATAGTTCCTATAGTATGCTCTCATTATCATACCAAAACTGTAAATGTCAGACTTTTTTGTACATAGTTAATACTTCAAGTGCCAGGTATGGATGTTTATCTTTTTCATTAAATATTTTTTGACTTCCCTCTTTGAAATAGAAATAATTGAACTGATTTTATCACTCCAAGTAAATTCTTTAAAATTCCTTGATAAAAATTATATAAATCGCATGATTAAATGTCATTCTATTTTGGATTTTTAGTGATGCAACGTTACTTTTAACTAGAAGAAAATATTTATAAATAATATTGTTATTTAATAATAGATATTTATTAAAACTTTATAAATTTTGCCTTTTTGAAATTCAATAAATTACATAAGATTTAACAAAGAACTTCACAGTGCATATTATCTATAAATATCATATAAAAACGCGATTCTTTATGAAATCGACCCTTTTTTTTTTGAGCTGATATAAATTTTTTTCTTTTAATGTGATATGTTCAGTATGTTCAATAACTTTTAGCTTGATAGTCACGAAAGATAAAACTAATCAATGATCTGCACCGTAATATTTTTTTAGTTATTTTTTTTCTTGGCAGCCATTATATAGTAACATTCGGTTTTAATGCAAAATCTATTTTTAATTTATCAGTTAAATGATTAAATAAAAACAATGTTATTTTTTCAAACCCTTGTATCAAATAATCAATTCTAGGCTTTGGACACTATTGATTATTTCTTTAAATGTGTATTTCTGCATCTATTTTTTTAGGTGCAACGCATAAAATGAATGGTTGCTCGCATTCACAACTGGCATTAGTACTAGTTCAACAACAGGAATTACCTTACTGGCTTTCATTATAATTAAAACCGGCGTAACAATTATTTATTATTTATTATTATTATTATTATTTATTTGATTGATATTATTAATATACAGTCAATACTATAAAAGAGAATAAAAATAAAGTTTTTCACTTTTTACTTGCAAAAGTAAACTCGAACTTTTTGTATACAATGTCACTCATTTTCGTTTTTCAATTAATTAATTTCTTTAATCTTTTGGTTTGAATTTAAAAAAAGTCAAGTCGTTATATTTTTTATCCAATGTAACACAAAGGCTGCCGATCTCGTAAAAAAATTTGGGACAATATTAATAATATTAAATAAACCAATGCTCGTTTTCACATATCTGATACCTGTCATTATTAATTTACATATTTTTTATAATTTTAACTAATTTTATAAATAAACAAAATTCAAAAATTCAAAATAACATTACAAAAAAATTTTTTTTTATGTTTATTAATTATACAATTTAATAATAAATTTTAATGATTGTTTGGTTTCATCGTGATTCTAATTAAACAATTTAAAAACAAAATAAATTTTAGCAATTGCGACATCAAAATAAAATATAATAAAACAAAACAAGATCAAAACAAAAAAACCAAATAAACAAATAAACCGATATCAGATGACTTGAATTTTGTTTGCGCCAATTGAATAATAATAACTGTAAAGCAGATGTCGGGTTTTAATATATACAAATACGCATGCGCCTGCATATGTGTACAATGTAACAGATTCTAGATTGACGTTAAAAAAAAAGCAACCTATTTCTTATTTAATAAGTATTATAAGAAAAATAATAAGAATTCAAAACATTGAATTTTCTATTATTTCTCTTTTGAGTCAACCAATGAGAAACTACAAATTAAATAGAGGATGAATGTGAATAAATTTAAAGCATTCGTTATCTAATGCAACAATAACAATGTAATAAATAATAACGGCTAATAAAAAAACTTCAACACTTACATAATGGTTTGTGGCTTTTTACATCTATTTTTGTTGAATTTTGAACTTTTGAATATCTTTTGGAAATCAACCAACAACTCATCTCCCGTTTTTTTTCTTAATATTGTTATCAGTAGGTGATTTATAAACAATATATTATTGGTACAAAAAAAAAAAAGAGAGATCTTTCATTATACACGATAGTACAAATTAAAACAATTGTTCACAAAATTATTAATGTTAATATCAATACGTATTTCAACAAATATGTCTCCTATCTCGACCCGTATTGCTATTACCGTTTCTGTTATCTATTATCTGTTGCTATCTTCTTTGTCTTTCCTTGTTTTTGCTCGTTTACTTTTCATTATGCTTTTAGCGCTCTTCTACACTTACTTTTGTTTTTCTTTTTAGTTGTATACAGTTTCCAATAAAATAAATGAATAAAATCCTTACATTTATCCAATATTGCTTTTGAACAGATAGAGATATATATATATATTAGAAAAAAACAAGTGTGTGCACACTCTTCTAGGTCTTATAGTGAAGAAAAAGTACCCCGTACTCAATAAAATTTTTAAACTTTAAAAAAAAACATGTGTAAATACCAGATATGTATAATTGGCTATACTGTACGTACATATTATTATACAAACGGGTAAATGTTTATTATTTAGAGGATTAGAGAAACCAATTTTTATAGCAATCTTAACTAAAGTAGTAAGTAGTATGATAATAATAATTATGGTAATATTATTTTTGGTTACCCTTGTATTTTTTTTTAGATCAACAATTGTTAATAGTCTACGATCTCCATTGGTGATGATGGTGGTTTCTTTGTTTAATAATGTAAATAAATAAATAAATCTTGCTATTGTTAAATCCTGTTATGAATAAATAAACGTATCGCTAATAAATAATATGCTGATTAATGTAATCGTGATCTTTGCCAAATTAAAGATTTGAAATGTCACTTATTGTATATTGTCACTTGATGTATGTATAATGTATCACCACAATACGTCAATTAAAGTGATGAATATTGTAAAAAAAATACAGACTATTATAGTAATAACATTAGCAATTATAGGAGAGTTAGTAACAACAATATAAAGAAACATAATAATATAAACTTAACAATAATATGCTAGTTTTATGCAGGCCTGCAGATACTTGCTTTTACAAAACAGAAACTTGATTTATAATTTTAAGAAACTTAAAAAAAATTTTTGCATTAAAAACGTTAATTTATGTTTTTGAGGACCAAAACAACTTTTGATTAATATCCAGCCACAAATCGTTGTTGATGATAATAACGAGGGGAAAATTTGTGAGCTTCATCTTTACCAACGTAAGCCTTAAGCTGTCCAACAGCTATTAATCGTTGTAATCGTTGGTTTTCCGTTAAGTCCTAGTTTGAACATAATTATTTTAAATTTAATTACTATTATATAGATAAAGATCGTGAGATTATTATTAATAGATTATATTGATTATATTAATTATACGACGTTTTTCCAATAGAAAACGAAACAGGTCTTTTTTTTGTGTTACATTTTTTTAGGTTACACGTTATTATTAGATTTAGACAGGGTTACCTACCACATGTAATGTTAATAATGTTATTAAATATTTTATTTATACCAAAATTATTTTTTAACTCTTCATAAATTTGTTTTTTTGGCTAGATCCTTTCTCAATAGCTATCTTTTTTTTTTAGAAAATGAGTCAAGGCATCTCGATTTGCCTGCTTTTTCTTGACATCCTTTTCTTTAAATAATAGTCATTAAATTCATGACAAATCATCCTTGAACATAAGGTTAAATGGTTCCTCTTCATTTCCATAGAATGTGATCATATTATCATGGAAATGAAACCCCATTTGATTGGACAAAATATCATCACATAGGAAACCTGTATGTAATAAAGTATACTTAAACCAATTATGTTTATTATTAAAAAGCTCTTGGCACAATTTAGTTATATTACGGTTTTCATCTAAATATGGATATATTTTAAAAGATATCATTCGTCATGAGTCATAATTATTTTTGAGCCATTTTTATCTTTTTACACATATACATTAATTAAAAATCGACTCCAATTTTCCCACGTAATGAATCTTCTGATTTTTAGGTTAATGCATGGATTGATTACGAATCGTTGCCTTTCAAACATCGTTACTCAGTCCACTAACTACTACATCGGCGTCTGTATACAAAAGATGTGATAGCGATGTAACCATTGATTACAAATCGATACTCGGGTAAATATGTCTGTCATTTAATAGATATGTTAGTACATTTTATGAGGTTTTTGTTGTTGCAATATTGCTTAAAATTTCAAAACTCTAAATATTTTACAATAAAGTTCAATACATTTAAAAAAAATTTGATTATTATAAAAAAAAAATCCCTCAACATACGATTTCTTCAACAATAAAATTAATTTGATTTCCATAATAATAATCCAATAATTTACAAATATTTTTTATATCGTTTTCGTTTAGATTTGTTAATATAGTAGTCGCAGCTGTTGGTTTTACTGAATTAGTGGCAGCAGCAGTCGTAACAATAATGATTTTTAATGATTATTTATATTTTAATTCCATGTTTTTCTTTAGATTTTTAAATTTATTTATTATTATATTTTTTTTTTTTTTGGTTCTTATTATTTCTTTATTTTTATAAATATTTTTCTCCAATTATTCATTCATAAATTCGTCATCATCGTTGTAATTGTTTAAATGGCAATTGATTCCTTTTCCATTGTTAGGATTACTTTTATGATTTTCTTGATTATGATAATCGATCTCACATGACCAATTTATATTTATAAAAATGTAACAATTAAACTAAAAGAACAATTGAAAAATCATTCTTATTACTTTTGATTTTGGGAATCTTTTCTGTAAAATATCAAGAAATAACACCCCACCCCACCAACTGATGAAATACCAAAGCAACCAATTTACTATGCAAACGAACCCTATCAAGCACCTATACCGCCTATTAATTGTACTGCTATTTAATCAAAAAAAAAAAATTTTTTTTTCATTTCATGGGTCATATAACTCGTATAAATCATAGTCATATAACTCTTCACATCTATATCTATTTATGCTATGCTTATAAACTCTCATTCATCCAAAACCCCCGATCATGATTCTCTGTAATTTATCCGTTAAGTGCCGATTTAGAACAGCCATACATCAACGTACGATCGAATATTGTAAATACAGAAATCTTTCATATTGACACGATAGAATTCTACTCCGTGTCACAAAACCAATCGTTACTATCCCAGTTAGATTAAATATGGCGTTATTTGGTGTCCGGGCGCTTTCTTTCTTATGGCCGAACTGGATTGATTAGACCTCCGAGTAGGAAGGTTTATCGTTGACTATTTAGTTATTATCAATCCAGAACCTCACAAATTTAATTGTGTTTACATGATTTTGTTTGCTCTTACACAAAATATTTATTTATTGATTGATGTAGCTTCACATGTTTAAACGATAATGATGGACAATACATATTGTTGATAAGTGGTTTACTACTTTTATGCGCACTTAATTATCTTTAAATTCAAGTCGCATATTATTGTAACAAATACCAATATCTAGATATACTCAAGTCATCGCCACCATTCATATTATTGTTTTTATAATAAACATCCTTGACTCAATTCTTTCATATATATACATTAATTAATATACCCATACACACATTTATTTCATCCTCGTTTAGATTTTATTATATTTATTTATTTATTCCACTATTTATAATTTGCTCATATGACCAAAATAAATAAAATAAGTGATACATACATACAAGTTTTTAACATTCAGTTATTAATTACAAGTTACAAATAGCGTATATCATTGATATTTATAAATTAACAACAAAGGAACAAACAAATAAAAGTTTATTGGAGAAAAAAAAATTCAAGTTATTTCTTTGGTCTCTGAGGCAATTGTTGATATGCATTATGTTGCATAATATATATCAAATATATGGTTTTGTTTTTGTTTTGTGGAAAAGATCATTGAATTCATTTTATTACTTAAGGAAAACACATGTCTTCTGATTTTTAGTTAGCTCTTTTTTAATTTTAAGGTCATTAACATTTAAATGATTAATCAAATAAAAATAATTGTTGATTATGTCAGTTCTTTTGAGTTTTTTGAAAAAATTTTTATTAGTACCGAGTATGTCGATGTAACTTAATAAATATCATGTGTGGACGAAAAACTTTATTTGGATCTCTTTTATTATACTCCCATATTTTTACAGAAAATATAAAAGAGTATTTTTCCTAACCAAAAATAATTAAATTTGAATAAAAAAAAAATTTTTTTTAAAAAAACATTTTTTTTTTTTTAAAAAACAAAAATCAGTAAATTAAATAAAAATGGAAATTACGCGTATCATTTGGTAAAGTTTTCAATAAATATTTGAAGAATCGTTTTTTTAATCATTTCCTAATTAATATAATTAATAATAGCAATCAGCAGCAACAAGTACCTTCACCACAAAATCGACAACAACAAATAAATTCAAATACAATAAAACCATCATCCAGTCATAATATCAACAATAGTGATGATAATAAGTGTAATATTTTCAACAACAACAATAATATCAATAATATCAACAATAATGATGATAATAAGTGTAATATTTTCAACAACAACAATAGTATCAATAATATCAACAATAATGATGATAATAAGTGTAATATTTTCAACAACAACAATAGTATCAATAATATCAACAATAATGATGATAATAAGTGTAATATTTTCAACAATAACAATAGTATCAATAGTACCGATAACTCCAATTCCAACATTGCTGCCACCGTCATCAGTAGCAATAGCGGTATGTCTCCAAATCGTAGAATGGCACATATTCTATCAGAAAAAAAAAGAAGAAATAATATTAATTCGGGATTTTTGGAATTGAAGGGTATTGTGCCCAACTGTAGAGACAGTGGCGATTCAAAAGCTTCCATATTGAAGAAAGGTAGCTGTTCGTTGATTGATATATTGATTGCCCAAATGAATAATTAATCGCTACCATGATTGATTCTTTTTTCTTTTTAAAAATTTTTTTTAGCTGTTCAATACATCCAGTCTCTTGAAAAAGAAGTTAAAAAACTAAAAAGATCATCAATTTCATCATCGTCATCATCAAAAACAACATCGTCATCATCATCATCATCATCATCATCAAATTCAACAACTCCGCCACCACCCCATTCACCAACACCACCAATGTTGTTAAAAATCCATATAGAAACACCATCATCATCTCAGCAATTACAATCCACTACACTTCATCCTTCTTCATCATCATCCTCTTCGCCACAACTACCACCGCAAATTCAGCAAACACAATTTAAGCATATTCAGCCTACACATTTATCATCACCATCGCCATCGCCATCACCACCACTAGTAAACAATAATAGTCATAATAATAATAGTCATAATAATAATAATAGCAGTAATAATAATAATAATGATAATAATGATCATAATAATGATCATAATGTGGTATTACCTTCAATATTGACAACAACAAATTTCCCAAGTCTTCAATCGCATTTTTCATCTTCTACTTCAATATCTCCATTAATTAATCAAGATAAAAAAGATCATCGTCGTTATCACTGGGGAGAAAGTTTAAACCAACATCAACAGCATTTAATTCACTATCATCATAACAACATTTGTCATAATAATTGTAGAAATAATGATAATTATTATTATCACCAGAAAAATAATCTAAATTATCCGAAGCATCAATACCAAAATTACCATCATAATAGAAATTATCATTATTTTAAACAAGATGAAGAGCACTCACCAAATATGAATTGGTCAAGTAACGGTTATGGCACTATTAACAACTCCAATTTCAATATTAGTACAAACATTAGTCATCATCATCATTTCCGCTCACAATCTCAAGATGTTTCATTGCTTAATAATAATAATAATAATAAAATTATGATAAAACAAGAATCAAATTATTATAGATGAAAAAATAAGTAAATAAGTGATTTTTCTTTAGATATAATTAAATAGTAATAATAATAACATTAAATTATTATTTTTATTATTTTACGACAATTATTAAACAATATGGATGACGGTCAAGATCAGATAAACGGCAGGACGAGTATCATTCCGCTCATAATCTCATTGTTTAATAATAGTCAATTATGATAAAATAAGAATCAAATCAATACGGAGTCAAGCCAGCACTAAGAACAACACCACTATTGCCAAAATAATTATAAATCAAAAATAAATAAATGATAAAATAAAGTATTTCTTTTAAGGTATAATTAATTATAATAAAAAACAATATATAACGTTCCATCACGGGCATAGCATTGATTATTAATTAATTGTCTATATAAAAAAAAAAATTTTTTTTGTTATTTTATTATCTATGGCAATCATATGACGCTTGCATCGCATGTTAAGCTACTTAAATGTAATTAGTAGGGACTCGTGAACGAATTAGTTTTCCGTAGTGTGTGTGCCTCTATTATGTAAACATCCATATTCTTTGTAATCGTTAATTAAGTGATGGATGCTCTTTCACAGAATAATTAATTGATTACTTAATAATATTCTAGATCTTATCAACGTAATGCAGACATAATAACATCTAATTTGTTTCTTTTGTTTTTCTTTTTTTGTTTAATGTAATCATACATCTTCGGGAAAACTATTAATATACCATCATATCATATATGTGGTTTTTTGTTTATCAATTTGTGTAATTAAGTCAAAACGCATAAATTATGTATTTATTTGAAAACAATCCGGTTTTTACCATTTGTAATACTTTGTGAAAAACATATATATATCAATTATATTATCATTATGAGGCATGTTGTACAAAACTAGACAAAGTAAGCATTGTGCCTTTCTAGGAAATCAACAGTTGAGGTCCCAAAAGAAAAAACCACATTTTTTAAAATGCCATTAAGAAGCCAAAGAGAAAAGATGTTCTATTAGCAGGAGTTGACGGTTGAGGATATTCTTGATTATTTTAGAGTTGATATATATTGAACTGGAACAAATTTTATATTTATTACTATCATTTAAATATTTGTCTGTGGTAGAAAGCCAACCTCGCTTGTCTGGAAATACATTAATTCAACTGTATTTTTCCAAATCATCAAAAGAAACTGGTATTTTTATAGATGGAAATTTATTAAGAAGATACATCGACGGAACCAGCTGAATCAATTTTTTATTTAATATCAATCTATTCATCTATGAAGAAATATTTTTCTACTGCTGATTTTCATAGTACCTTTTTTTAACAACTCATTTAAGATCCTCGCTGTATTTTTGCATAACTTCATATGATCATCGCTGTTACTCTAGAGAATTCAACAATGCTGTGACCTGAAACTAGAAAATGTGAGACCGAAACCACCGAAAATAGTTGAGCGGGGCTCATGTTCAGGTTTAGGTCAGGTTCTCTCTCGAAATTAATTAAGTCATGCGCTTTATTATTTGATGTAGAACTAGCCACAAGTAACTATTTTTGAATCTTTTCTATGGCATAAAGTTTCAATAAAAGATTGACTAAAGATAACAACAGTAAACAAAACTTTTGAGCTTGGTCAAAAGACACAATATATGTTACACGTCGGTATAAACACCAACATAGATTGGGGTGTAAGCGTTTCACGATTTTTTCATCAGTAATATTTCTTACCCTCAAAAATCTCTCTGCACCGATAAATTAGAGAGAGATATTATATTACACTATATTCAAAAATGGAAATAATAATTCTCTTTTTCATGGACTAGTTGCATTTCGAAAAATGGTTTTTTTTATTATTCCCTTGTCATTATAACTCATTGATCGATATTATGTGTAGGGATGGGTTTGGTTTCGTGGAACCGGTTTGAATGGTTTTTTGAACAACATTACACGAACCCTTATTAAAAAATACCAAGAAAGGCAATGAATTTCAAACTTTTTGAAATACGCCCCTTACCAAAAACCGGTTTTCATTAACACAAAATCCATTTTCAGCATGTATATATCCAAATCATAAAAAAATTTTATTTATGTCACATTTTGAACATGTGTAACCGGTTCAAACAGTTCCAAAAAACCAAACCAAAAAAATCCCCAATTATGTCAGTATTTATCCAAATTGGGAATTTCTAAATATTGTAATGATTGGCGTACTAGTTGTCATATCTCTTAAATTCTTTAATGGTAACACAAATTAAAGTTTTTGATCATTGGTCAATTTAACGATCAGCAAAGTACAGTTTACTCTCTCTATAACGGATCTTTCTATAACGGATTTTTCTCTATAACGGACAAAAAATTCTGGCCCAATT